AGATTTGTTTGTTTGAAGTTAAGCACAAAGCTACACAATGGGCTATTTGTGCTCTGCCCACCACGGGTATCGAAACCCGGTTTCTAGCGTTGTAAGTCCGCAGACATACCGCTGTGCCACTGGGGGGGGGGGGCTAACTTTAAGAAGTCATGTCTTTCTTAATCGAAAAGCTATACTTTCATCAAAACGTTCTATTAAACCTGCTAAAAAATAAAAGCTTCCTGTCAGGAATTTTTGAAAGTCATTAATGTTCATAGTTTGTATGATGTTACACGAGCCTTAGTTTTAGCTGCAGGAGAGGCGGGCCTTTTAGCAATTTCAAAACATAATTATTTTGATATTTACATGAATACACGTAGAGATTACGGTCTATAAAGATTATTTGTATTGAGCGACAGTTACCTCGAGAAAGTTCCCGGCAATTCACCTGATGCAAGAATACATAAAGCATTGTGTATAGCACATCGAATTTCAATAAATCATGAAAGTATGCTACAAGGATCTGTGGTTTTGTCTATTATTTTACGTTCATGCAGTTGTATGCATAGACTTCAATTATAAGTATGCCTTATCAAGGATTAACTTGGCTTCTTTCAAAGTAGTGATCTGATATTCGACGAAAGTTGTACTTTACATAATGATTTTACATTAAACCTTTAGTGAAGATGACGGTTGTGAACATTGATTTCCGATTAAAATCTTCATTAGTTTGAAAGACATTAATGTAGGGTTTGTTTTCTGCTATCATTGTTTTTTAGTCTATATTTGTTCAGTTGTGGTACAAGACAGTAGGTCCGTTTCAGTCTCTTTCTACTTAATGACTCCCTAATACCATGCTAATGCGATGTGCATTTTTATGGAATTAGCACATATTCACGCTGTGACAAATAACAGTTACATAACACATTTTGATTTTTGTCTGGGTTGTTCCCCTTTTTATTTCGTCAGAACCTGTAAAGTTTGATAACTCAGAAATCTGGTCTGAAACCCGAGATAGTCTCCTGAAACAAACTGTCAAAACTATTGACAAGAAACGTTGATGCTCACATAAAAAGTAAAAAAAAACACTCATGCTGACATAAACATTAAAGAGAAACACTGATGCTGACAAGAAAGATTAGTTCTCACATAAGCATTAAAGAGAAACACTGATGCTGACATAAACGATAAAAAACATTGATGCTGACAAGAAATATTAAAGAGACACATTGATGCTGACATAAACATCAAAGAAAAACATTGACGATGAAATAAACATTAATGAGAAACATTGATGTTAAAAAGAGAAACATTGGTGCTGACATAAACATTGATACTGACAAGAAACATTAAAGAGAAACAATGATGCTGACAAGAAACATTAAAAAGAAACATCGATGCTGACATAAACATTAAAGAGAAATATTGACGCTGACAAGAAACATTAAAGAGAAACATTGAAACTGACAAGAAGCATTAAAGATAAAAATTGGTGCTGACATAAACATCAAAGAGAAACATTGATGCTGACATAATCATTAAAGAGAAATACTGACGCTGACATAATCATTAAAGAGAAATACTGACGCTGACAAGAAACATTAAAGAGAAACATTGAAACTGACAAGAAGCATTAAAGAGAAATATTGACGCTGACAAGAAACATTAAAAAGAAACATTGACGCTGACATAAATATTAAAGAGAAATACTAACGCTGACATAAACATTAAAGATAAATATTGATGCTGACAAGAAACATTAAAGAGAAACATCGATGCTGACAAGGAACATTAAAGAGAAACATCGATGCTGACAAGAAACATTAAAGAGAAACATTGATGTTAAAAAGATAAAAATTGGTGCTGACATAAACATCAAAGAGAAACATTGATGCTGACATAATCATTAAAGAGAAATACTGACGCTGACATAATCATTAAAGAGAAATACTGACGCTGACATAATCATTAAAGAGAAACATTAACGCTGACATAAATATTAAAGATAAACATTGATGCTGACAAGAAACATTGACGCTGACAAAAAACATTAAAGAGAAACACTAATGCTCACATAAACGTTAAAGAGAAACATTGATGCTGACAAGAAATATTAAAGAGTAACATTAATGCTGATATAAACATTAAAGAGAAATACTGACACTGACAAGAAACATTAAAGAGATACATTGATGCTAACATAAACATAAAAGAAAAACATTGACGCTGACATACATATTAAAGAGAAACATTGATGCTGACAAGAAATATTAAAGAGTAACATTAATGCTGATATAAACATTAAAGAGAAATACTGACGCTGACAAGAAACATTAAAGAGATACATTGATGCTAACATAAACATAAAAGAAAAACATTGACGCTGACATACATATTAAAGAGAAACATTGATGCTGACAAGAAACATTAAAAGAAACATTGATGCTGACATAAACATTAAAGAGAAATACTGACGCTGACAAGAAACATTAAAGAGATACATTGATGCTAACATAAACATAAAAGAAAAACATTGACG